TGTTAGAAAAGTTTCTGGCACACACTGACATTTTTTTTTTTTTTTTTTTTTTTTCATATATAATTATTTTCCACCGTCCTTTAGCTGTATTGCCAACAATATTTAATTTTGGGATAATTTCTTTGTATGTGTATTTTTTTTTTTTTTAATTATTGGCTTTTTTCCCTTCATTCTATTAACTCATATAGTCTTTGGCTATTTAAGTAAACAATGAAATTAGAATAAGCAATCAATACAGGAAGGATGTTGTGACGGAAGAACTATAAGATGAAAACGATGCCAGATGATAAAACTAAAAAAGAAAAAAATCTTTTATAACTGGCATGGTTAAGAAATTCTCCATGTAAGAAAAGTTCTTAAGATAGAGAATATCAGTTCAAATCTCATTAGATATTCTCTGATTTCACTGTTTAACATAATCAAAAACTGTAACTGCTATAATAATGAAGATCCACAAAAGAATTCTTTTAAATTTCACAGACCATTATTCATGAGTTTAGTTCTCAGGAGTGTGACCTTCTGCCAGACTAAGTTAAATGTTGTAGTAAATATCTATAAATCTTATCTACAGAGAAGAAAAATAAAATAAAAGTAATGTGCCATTTGCAAATGTTCTTAGCAAAATTTTTATTGCTACCAATATAGGATTCTTTTGAGTAAATTCCTTAGATAAGAGATAGTGATTTGCACACTGATCCTCACCCCCCTCATGGTAATCTAAGCTCTGACAAGAACTTTATTCTCTTGCACCACAATGAATTCCTGCTTTCACAGCCACTTCTTCAATCATTTTGTCATCACTCACTCTTTTCTCCACAAACAGTATTTGGATCAATAGTAGCATAAAGACTAAAACATCATTAGTCTTTTATGTGAACATTTGTTACTGGTTCCTTCTCTGCTTCAAGAAATTTGATAATAGCTCATTGTTTAAAATGCATATTACAGCAACATTTTCATACATCTTCTCCCTCCCCAGCTTGAAGGCATATTCTATAGTATTATGTTGACAAACAGGACATTACCAAATGGAATAAAATTTATATTTCCTATTGTTTTTTTGTTTGTTTTTTTTTTTATTTTGTTTTTTGTTTTGTTTTTTTGCTGAAGTTAAAAACAAAAAAAACAAAAAAATATGCAACTTTTCTATTTGCAAAGTATATATTTGTAGTCTTTATTTCCTATGAAAATAAAAGCTGTCCAATCCTTTATATAATCTTAAGTAATCTGAAATTATTTAAATGAAAGTCAAGTAAATTAAACAAAGAAAATAGAATAAAAATCAATTAATAATTCTGTTAAATGTATATCTCAAGGTGTTTCAAGGGAACAATAACTCCCAAAATACTTTTAGAAGCCAGATCTGTTATAACTACATCCTTAAGAGATAAACACTGTAAATAACCCACATAGTATTTAAAGCAACATATAGATACATGAAATGATTTTTTAAAAATTACCGATTGTAAATATAATATTCACAAAGAGAATCAACTGAATAAATTTCTACACAGATATCGTAAACCCTTGCAAATGAACACTATATCTAAAATGTAAAAATAAATGTTTAGAAGGATGGGCTGAAAAGTTCATAGGCTGACTATGAAGGAATGATGCTAGACCTGTGAAATCTTTAATGCATTAATTTCAACTCTCCTTATTAATAACTGCATTGTTTCTTTCCAGGTAAACTGATACCTGACTGTTCAAAGAAGACTTCAAAAGTAACTAATAGTGACTTTTTCTTGAAAATGGACAATATTTGGTATTGTGGTATTATTAAGTACCCGCAAAAAAAGGATTTAGTCCCCAAAGACATTCATGCTGACATGGTTGCTACATTACGGGATGACGTCTTTATCAACAGTGAAAAAGTGGGCAGCTGAATTTAAGAAGGGAAAGGAGAGTCTTGAAGATAACCAAAGGTCTGGAATCCTGCAACTGCCACCACTGAGGAAAACATTGATCGTGTTCACTACATGGTGATGGATGACAAATGACTGACTATAAATCAAATAGCCAATGCTATTAGCATATCCCATGAGAGTTGATGAATTTGGAATAACAAAGGTTTCTGCTCGATCTTCTGATGCCTGATCACATCACAGAAAAATCTGACATTGTTTGAGGTAGATCCAGCTGGTTTCACAACCCAGGATGAGCCTTAGCTTCATAATTTTGAGCCAGAGACAATTCAAGCAGTAGAAACACCCCTTTTTGCCTGCTCCAAAGAAGGTCATGGTTGTTTCATCTGCAGAGAAGGTGATAGACTCAGGTGTTTTAGATGCAAAAGGCATTGTGTTTATTTACTATCTTCAAAAGGGCCAGACCATCAATGGAGAGTATTATGCCAACTTGCTGAGGTAGTTACAAAAGGCTATCAACACCAAACATCCAGGAAAACAGATGAAAAGGGTTTTGTTTCATCAGAATAATGCTCCAGCACGATTCCTTGGTTTTAATGGCTGCTGTGCATGACTCTGTCTTTGAACTGATTGAGCACTCTCCATATTCTCCTTATACGGCCCCATCTATCATCTGTTCCACAACATGAAAAACACTTGGCTTGGAATGATGTCATATCTGCTGTTGATGACTTTTTTTGACCAACAGGATTAAAGCTTCTTTACCAGTAGGATGTTGAAAAATAAACCTTGTTTGGCAACCTTCCATGAGAGCATCTTGGTCAGCCTATGAATATTTCGGTCAACCATATTTTTATTAATAACTTTTGACTATTTCTTTCACTTCTTTTTTTTTTTTTTTTTTTTTTTTAATTCTGACCATGATATAAGTAGTCTGGATTAGAAATTTAAAAAAAAAAGTCACAAAGATAAGTAATACGAGTTCAAATCTCACCAGATTCTTATACTTTAATTCAGATTCATACTGCTTACTTACTCACCCTAGAATTACAAACTGATATTTTCCATAAAAAGCAACAGAAATGAGACAAAAGAAATAAGGTTAAACATTCAATAATAATTAACAATGTTTCATCTAAGCAGTTGAATGATGACTATTGTTTTGCCATATTACGAATGTAAGATGGAAAATGGATCTCAGAATCTATAAATATTTGTTTATTGTTGTAAGTCCCAGATGAAAGCTATGACCGATATTTCTTTTTGTAACTCTGACTTCAATTTGTTTTTAACTAATAATAATGACTGAGTAGCATAGACGATGAGTTAAACTTATTGAAAAAGGCTGAGAATATTTATTTATAGAGAATAGTTAATTGGTTAAAGAGTAAGAACTGATGATTGTATTATTGGTAGTTAGAAAAGGATTGTTACAAGCAAAGGGCAGGAAATTGTTGCAATCATAGAGACAATTAGATTATAGATACACAAACACTGCAATTGGATTACCTTATATTAATTCAATAAGTTGTCTATGATATAAATTGTATTATTCATGGATTCCTTGAATGAAAATATTAGGTAACTGAATAGTTGCTCTGTTTTTGCAAACCTACTAAAGTTGTAAAGTTATTTGTAGTTTTGATATTTGTAAATTTAAAAATGACATAAAGCTTTGCAGACTTCTTTATTTTCTTGTTTCCTTTAATTTTTTAAAAATTTTATATCCAGATATAAAGTTTCTTTTACAACCTTATTAAATGGATTAGTAGTGACCAAAAGGATTTGTATTTTAAAAGCAATTTGGAACAGGAATTGCCAAATTTAGCTACAAGTAACAAATTGGTTGGTCTTTGAAAACCCAGCACTATTAAATACTGAATTGACTTTCACCTCATCAGTAACATAAATTAACCCCACTTATTTAAAAGTAGCCTGAAAAGTTGCAAGTAGCAAAATTCAAAATTTAGTAACTAGCTTAAAAGCCACCCTATCAGGCAGAATTTAAGCTCGCTCCTGTGGAGGGCACTTAATTAGGTCTTCATCACAATAGGTAGGGAGGATTAGAAGCAATAGGCAACAATAAACTACAGAAGAACTCAAAATTGATTGCTGCATTTAAGTATTGGATTAATATGTAAGCTTAACCTTTTAAAAGTTCAACAATAATTCTCCTGCCACCTCTTAATTTAAAGATAATTTGATGTATATAGGTCCTTACTTTCCATACAAACAATTATTTTTATTTCATGGTTGACTTTTGCTGAATTTTACAATTAATTCCAATTATTCCTAAACTTATTTCCAAGTTATAAAAATTGTTACTGTACAAAAAAAATTATTGCAAAAAATCATGTTTAAAAAAAAAAAGCCAAAAACAGTCACGGTAATGAAAACTTGGGAATCCCAAATTTCAAGATTTGCAGGTCCAGATCCAGCTCGGAATGTTCTTTATTTGCTCACAGTTAGCCTGATTCGAAAATTGTATGATATGTTAGGCTACAACCTCTAGTCATAAAGTTGAAAAGGCGTGACTCTCTGACATTTGCATTTATTATATAGATGGGCTTTCACCTCGAGGTGGTGTAATGGTTAGCAAGCTTATCTAGCTAGAACAATTACGACTGAGCAGTGAGTTCGATCCTCACTGGGTGCCCTCTACTTTCGGCTTTGTGCCACATCTAAGCTATGTTTGGAAAATCACTAGATGGGCTTTCAATTGAAACACAATCTAGCAACCATAATATAGATACACAATCATTGTTGATTTACCTCCCTTAGATTTTATTTAATTGGTTTGATAAAATAGGCATAATTCCCTTTATTGTTAATGTCTTAATTGTTTTGATTAATTTGAACTGTAAAGTGAGCTTCATATAATCTTGTATAACCACTTGGGAACTGGAATTTTCTTATCTGTTTTAAGCAGTTTCTTATCAGCCAGTTAGTTCCAAGTGGTTAATGTAATTGCATAACTTATAAATTATTGTCTGCCTGATTTATTGCATTAATATCTAGCTTTTTTTTTTTTTTCTTTTTTTCTCCTCTCTCTCCAGTTTGATTTCCCGGATGTTGATTCGTGAACCCAATCAGCGTGCAGGCCTAGAAGAAATAATGAATCATGACTGGCTGCAGATGGGTGATGTTCCAGATAGTGCCACCAGCCTACCTCTAATTTCCAAAGGCCTTGTTTCCTCAGAAGATCATACTTACGTCGTTGAACGAATGATTGAAGGTAGAATGGCTACCAAGGAGGAAATATCTGTGTAAGCTGAGCACTGTATTCTCTCTCTCTTATTGTACATGTTAAGAATTTGGGTAAATGATCCTGACAGTTATACATTAAATAACAGTTGGAAAAATTGTTTGTGCGAGTATGTTTTGAAAAATATCCGATAATGCATTTTGTCCATTCTGATGGATTTTTATCTTTAAACTTGGACTCTTAAAATGAAAAACATAAAATGTTTAACAACGTTTTCTTTTTATATAAGTCACTCTTTTTCTTTCTTTTCTAGTCATGATCAATGCCAGATTAGGAAAAAAAAATATATAATCTCATTATTTTAAATAAACTCACAAATACATACGCACGCAATTCACTTTTTCATCATCGATCTGATGAAGCCCAAAATAGGCGAAATGCATTATCAGAATTTTTTTTTTTTTTTTTTGAAACATTATACTTTCATAAAAATTTTTTCTAATCATCATTTAAAATATATATATATATATATATATATATATATATATATATATATATATATATATACACACACACACACACACACACACACAATCTCAAACTTTTAAAGGAAGTATTTTTGGATGCAAAGTATTGGCCAATTTCCTTAACTTAAATTTTTCTTCATCTGATTATAAACACCACAGTTGAAATTTGAAAACTTCATTCTAAGGAAAAAAATTGGGTCATCCAATACATGGGTAGTAATTTTGTGAGGTAAAATTCTTTCATAATGGAGAGAACTAGAAACAGCTGTTCACCAGTTATAAAAGAAAACATTGAAATTTACTTTAATAAATACATGAATGGAAGTTAAAAGTAATTTGGTGCAAATATCTCACATTTCAGCATAAAGTGCTGAAATAATAACTGATAAACATTTTATTTTTGGTATTCAGGGTTTATACTCACCAATTTTCAGTTTATAGAATGTAAGGAGAATTATGGATGGGCATGTAGCATAGCAGAATGTGAGATTGGCATACTAAATTCAAATTCCAGTTGAAGTCATTACATTAACTTTTGCATAATTGCTCTTGGGAAAGGTATGAATCTATTTCTTCTTCCTTTAGCTTTGGGTCAAAATAGTAAGACAGACTAGGCTCTCTAGCCTTGATTAATTTAGGAGAAGGAAAAATCTGAATTCAAAACCCAGTCTGAAAATAGATGAACTTAATCACACCATCTTGTCCTAGACATATCCACATGTTGCTTCTACAACCTTAATGGGTCATAGGATTCATGATCGTGAAGGAAAACTTTAGCTAAAATTTCCTGCAGTATGCTTATATGATTATAAATCTATAAAAATGATGGTAATTTTTTTTTGTTGTTGACTAAGCTTAGTATGGTACAAGGCCAAAAGTGTTGGACACCTAGTGAGGGTCAAACTACCTATACTGACTAAATTGCTAATCATTGCCCTATACTGTGGTCACCAGATATGGTGCTTTGTTATTCTAATTTACTATTCCATTAACCACAAAAATTGGAGTGAAGCTGTATGCAATGTATATTAATAATTTCTTTACTAAAAATCAAGATTTAGAAACAACTATATACTATTTATACTATTTTTTTACTATTTATTTTTTATACTATTTAGATTTATTTATACTATTTTTTATTAAGACTACAGATCCAAAACAACAGCATAAATTTAATTTAAAAAGTAATTTATTAAACTTTAAATGAAGACCTTTTGTTCAACATCAGGTGCTTTATGCATTTTCTCACTTCCACCAACAATCTGATAGCAGAAAAGATTCTAATCAGATTGTTGGTGAATGTGTAAGAAAGCACTTCTCAGGTTTATAGCAAACAACATCAAGGCAGCTTTATTCAATGCTCATATACATTACCAATATTAAAGGAAACTTTCTTCTTTTTTTTTTTTTTTTTTTTTTAAGAAAAAGAAAAATATTTTATTCACTTTAGTATAACAGATTTTTTATATGATTAACATCATTGGACTGACCACAGAGATGTACATGGATTCTCAAAGTGTAGATATCTCATCATAGAATAATATTTAATAAATAATATATATATATATATATATATATATACACACACACACACACACAAAGAAACTGTTATTTACAGTTGGACTAATGTCCACATTTTTGTTGTTATCACAGTGAATCAGTCCCCCACCTCTTCAGATGCCTGTTGATCTGGAATTTGAACCAAAGCCTTTATTTAATCCAAACTGTTAGATTATTCTCATTCCTCTGTGCATATTTAGGGATATCCCCAAATTTACCTTGATTGCCACGCAGATGTGAAGAAGGCTGGTGGATACAAAATTAAAGACATTGTGATAAAACCAACAAAGCTGTAGACATTAGTCTGACATAAATAATACCAGCTCTTTATCCTAGAAACAATGTCTTTATTAGATGAGCCACAACTTATGCCAAGAAAATATTTTGCTTGATACTCCAGTAGTAAAAAAACAAAAAACAATGTGATATTCATATGCTCTCATGTGGTTTTCAGTATTCAAAATGACTTTGGATTACTTGTTTTTTTTTGGGGGGGGGGGTCACAGAACATGAGTTTAATTAAATTTCTAAACAAATGGTTGCATTTGACTTTCATAGCATTACCAAGAGGCTCTAGTATTTTACTATAGTAAGTAAGAAAAATGAAAATCTTGAATGAGGTCTTTCAGCTTGAGCAAATTAATTTTTGCAAAAAATTATTCAAAATTAATCCAAGCTTGTTGTTATTAATTTGAGTGTAGCTGTTAAAAAAATGGGGTGGGTGGGATGAAGGCTTCCTGTTTACTAATTAAAAATACCTTCTTTTTTTTCTCTTGACAGTAAGATGAAGATAATCCACCAATCAAAAAGTTAACAAAAATTCTTTAATTTAAAAAAAAAAAAATTAATATTAAACTCTAATATCGTAGTGCAAGTTTCTTTAGTTAGTCAAGATAACGAAATTCTTAAATATTTTTCTCTTGCACAGTTTTGATTTTTTTTTTTTTTTTTTTTTTTTTTTTAATGATCTTCAACATAAGCCTATTTTTTCCTTTTTATGTTAAAGAAATATTGAAAACTTTTCATGTAATTGTAAATCATCTCACTACACTTAAATTAATTCTCTAAACAAGTGTTTACAAAGTTATAAGACGCTGGAAGCGAAAATCGCACCGCAGCTCATGACGTCACACATGACCACGCGAGAGGGAATTCAAGAAGTATTATGTATGGGAAGCCGTTGGTATAAATCAATGGCTTCTGTTACCAATTAAGACATTTAAATTTTTGAAGATTGTAGTTATCTGAGAAGCAAGAAATTGGGAGTTTCATAAGTGGGAAGTATGAGAAAAGAAACTGTTAGAGTAGAAGTGTCAGTTGCATCTAGCTAGTTCTGTCCAGCATCTTATATGCACGTGTTTATCGTTGCTTGGAAATCATCCATGTAAACAGAAACAGACTATCATCACTGTCTTGTCCATATATTGCTTAATATGTTGTACAGTAATTGTCATCTTTGATAATGACTTATGTAAGCCGAAGGCTTAGACAGGATTAAAAAATATGTATCAATATTGTGATTTTCTTTCTTCGTTTAATGATTATGTTATTAAGCTTATCAGATGTTATGAAATGAATTTACATAAAATAAATAGACAACACTGTCTATATTATTTAATGAAACATGTATGAATTAAAAAATGCTGTCTAAATACACACATATATAATGTTTAAAATTTGTCATTTATGAAGGAAGAGTGCTCAATATTGGGGGTGTAACATTTGTACATATAATCAGTGTGGACATAGTCACAATGCAATATTTGATTTCTGTCAGTGTCACACCTCAAGCGATCTTCGGATATGTTCTGAAGATCACTTGATGCAGTGTTGATTTCTGTGGCCACACTCATTTTATCTACAAATGCTATATCTTTCGTATACATTAGCATAAATCTCCCCTAAGCATAGCAGATCACTTTTGAAGGAAGTATGTTGTAAAAGAGTGTTAGTTTATTGATATTGAATTTCTCATGTGAAACCATTATAACATGGGACTCCAGATTATTGAAGTCTCACTTGAATATCTGTTATGAGGAAGAATCTGTTTACATCTTATATCTGAGATGCAAAAAGAACCAATTTTCTGTCCAGCTCCATGTATTTACTTTCATTCTGTCTGTATCAACTCTACCACAAATACCAGAAAATAATGATACATAGAAACAATGTAATATATTTCTGAAACAAGTTCAACATATTCAAGTTTGGTTTGTATGTAGTGCCACAAATAAAACTTCTATTGTTTTGAATGCTTATTTTAGTTTCATGAATAAGTGAGAACACAAAGTAAAAGATTCTTGTATTAAAATATAAGCTAACCTTTGTTATTTGATTATGTATCATGTGTTAACATATCTAAATATATAATGACAGTAAAGATAAATCTTTCAATGATTTTATTAATAGATAAAGTGACATGAGGACTGTTGAACTAGCTAGATGCAACTGACGCTTCTACTCTAACAGTTTCTTTTCTAACACTTCCCACTTATGAAACTCCCAATTTCTTGCTTCTCAGATAACTACAATCTTCAAAAATTTAAATGCAATGTCAGTTGTCATCTTCTGTCTTCCTGAAGCCTGTTTCTTTTTTGACCTTTCTGCAATCCTCCCACATTCTCAGTCTTCTTATTCTCTTTCACTTTCACTCCCTATAATCCTCTGCGTTCTAGTGGCATTGTCACCTTGCTTGAGGTGAAATGGTTAGAAAAAGAAGAAAGAAAAAAAGCATAAAGAACACTAAATATTTTACTACTAGATAGAACAGATAAAAATCAGTCAAGTCATAAGCAACTTGAAAAAAATAAATAAGTTTCCATTAGAATAAAATTGACTTTCTGCTTTGACTTTTGTGGTCATTTTTATTGAATTTCTTTTTACTTAATTTTTCATCTTTTTCTCTCTTTCTCTCTCTCTCTCTTTCTCTTTCTCTTTATTTAGATCTCTTGACAAAGATGCTTATGACCACATTGCTGCTACCTATTATCTCATGATTGAACGGAGACTGAAGGCAAAGCAAGCAGAAGCAACTTCATCAACTTCATCAAATTCTGCAGCCAATGCTTACCACTTCCGCAAGAACTCTGCTCCTGCTGATGGCAAGCCTCATCTAGAACCCCTTGCTCTGTCTCCACGGTAGGTTTTGAATGTTTTCTCATTACTAATATTTTCTATTCTTTTCCTTTTCTTTTTATGATCATATATGTACTTGTTTATCTATATAATTGTTTTACTTATTCATTTTAAATTTTTCTTATTTTTGTATTATTGATATTTTGTATATAATAAAAACATAATTTCAACATTTTGCAAGTGTTCATCAATCCCCTTTCCCACCAGTTTTAATTCAAGCTATGATGAGCTGCTCCCCAAGCTCTCATAAGATGTACATTATGAATATTTCCCTCCTTGATCAATATTCTTGGTCAGTAAAGTTCTGACTATATTTCTAAATTCTTTGGAAAGAAGTTTGTGATTTTGTGCATTTAATTATTGCATTGTTATTATTGCAATGTAAATGTATATTTGTGTAAATATTCTGGATAATAATTCAGGAGAATTTGTATATGATAATTCTTATTTCAAGATTGAGTTGACAATAGCTTACATAATTTAATGAGTGGACATAATATCTATCGAAATTCCCTCGTTAGAAGTTTTTTTTATTAAATTAAAAAAATTTTTTTATCCTTGTCATGAATTAAAAATGAATCTAAAATACTCCATGAAAATACTTTCTAATCTCATAAAGTAGAATTGGATAAATTAACTCCATCTTACAATGGAAGAGTTTAAATTTTAAAAAAATCAAATTTGTGTACACATTTTTAAAGTATAACACACAAAGTTATTCAAAATGTATATATCATGCATTTTTACCCATTTCTAGTGTTTCATATAAGTAGTTAAATCAATAAGTTTGTAGCCTAATGATAAAAAAAGAAAAATTTATACAACAAATACCTATTTTTCCACCAGGTCTCCTTTCTTGCCAATGCACGTAATCTGTTGCTTCTCCAAAGATCACATAGATCAAAGATTATACAGGATATGCTATGTATTTGAGAACACTCCTTTAGCAGGCTATAATTGGAAGATGACCTAGCATAATGTTACACAACGTGTGCTAAATTTTAACTTTCACATTTATCATCTTTCAGGCATATCAAGAGCATTAACATGAAATGAAAAAGGCATTCTGTTCATGTCACTAGCCACTAACCACAGTGATTCAGAGATAACCAGCTTCTTGTATGTGACAAAGTCCTTCATATTCATTTTAATAAGCTGGTGACTTTTGGCAAGGATGTATCATTTGTAGCCAAAATAAAGAAATATTCTATCAGATATTATAAGGATAGCTGAGTTGGTCCAGCATGTCCAAGTCCTACATGGCAAGGAGAGGGAAGGTTTGACCGAGATGTGGTACCAAAATCCAAGATGTCATGAATACTGTAGTACTTTCAAAAAAATTTCATGATACTGCCACTGCCTGGAAATTTGGTATTTTCTCCTCACAAAGCTTCACGGTTAATGCCACCATCTAAATTGAAGCTCTGGATCTCAGGGTGATCCAAAGGAGGCCATACATATTCCAGCAGGATATTATTTCATCCCACATAACTCATGTAACCCAGGAGTAACTGAGTGAGAATTTGAACAATTATGTCGCTCAATAAAATATGACCTCTTAGTTCTCTTTGATTTGCATCCCTTGGATTGCTATGTTTTGAGACATCATTGAGAAGGAGACAAACAAAAAGCTTAACCATATTACCATTATAGACATGATGACCAGTATGAATGGGAACCATCTGCAATCACTTCCAAGGCCACAAGCAGTTTTAGTCAATAATTTTACTGAATCCTTTTTTGTTTTCATAAGATGAACATGTGACCAAATCTTAAAAAAATATATTAATTTTTTTTCCCTGTTAAATATCTGTATAATCTGTTCTCAATTACCTGACACACTCTCTACAATGAAAATTTCAGATTCAAATTCAGCTAATAACTATCAGGCTGCAGAATTATTGATCTGTTCTTGTCTTTAAATTGTTGAATTATATTTTTTTTCTTTTTTTGAGTGTGAGTGGTAATAATAAATACAATCAAGTGAAGATGCACACATGTGCTGCTTTGTCACCCTTTATTTATTTATTTTACGTTTTTGAGATCTTGAACCCAGGATCAGGAAACACACATGGAATCAAATCATAGCAATCAGTTTTGTTTACTTCAATATTAACTCCAATCAGATTTCTCAGATACAAAAACAGAAGGGAAGAGAAGTAAGGTTTATAAAATAATGATAATGAGAAAGTAGCAAATTTGAATGTTGTATTCTTGGCTTTTATTAAACTATTTTTAGTTTAAATCTCTAGAAAGGCAGCAGTTTGTTATTTCTGATTATCAACAGCCTTTTTTCTAAAGGCTGACATATCATTATTTTTTTATTGCTATTTTGTGTAACTCAAAATTATTTCAAATATTTTTCCTCTCAGTCTTTTGATACTTGTGACTGGAAAATGCATATTCCAAAAGCAAACGCAAATGGAAAATAAAAATGGAAAATAAAGAATGTATTTATAAAGTTAGCTCTCTTCAAGTAACCATATTGAATTCATTTTTTTCTTTTCATAAGTTATGTGTGAGTGCAAAGCAATAAATAATTGTATATTAATAAATTTAAAGTCATTTTTCTAATAACTGTTGGTTATTACATGTATTTTCAAAACTATTAATTATGCCAGCAAAAACGTTTTTTAACATTTTCAATTCAGTCTAAATGTGAACTGAATCAGAATATTGGCAAAAATTATTTTTAAATTAAAAAATAAAGGCAGTATTTTATTATTCAAAGATATTTAGCAAGGGTAAATTTCAGTTTAAATTATATTTTTATCTGAAGATGTTTAAAGTTATGAAATCAATCATAAATATATAATTATTAGAAACTTTGTTAAATAAGTTTTTTTTTTTTCACATATAGATGACATTTAAAAAAAAAAAATGGATAAATTCCATATTAATGAAAAATAATTAACCTGTATAATAATCTGTTACTGATAGTTTCAGATTCTTTTCACATTAAAAAGAACTGAAATAGGAGTTGTATAAAATGATATATGTAAAGCATTCATATGTGAAATTTATTTTTTCCTTTTATCTGAGGCTGTTATCAAACATAAAACTATATTATCACTGAGAAATCCATTTCCAAAATGGTTAGTTGGAAGTGGTCATCTCACTATCAAACAATCTACTAAAAAAAAAAAATATTTTGTCTACTCAAAATACAGAAATTTTCAGTTAGTGTATTCTTGGAAACAATCCTTGCAAGGCTTTGGTGCAGACACACACACACACACACACACACACACATATATATGGTGGACTCTCTCGTTATCTTCAATGTTTTAAGAGCCCAGCATCTCAGTTTTTAATACTGAACAGTCAGACTACCAGCACATATTTGATTATAGTGATGAAGTCTTGTGCAGAACGATGTGTACTCCTGTCAATTTTGACATTTAGTTGTTCATGCCTGGTATAACATTTAAGTCCTGTCAATGATTTGCATATAAGTCGATAAGATGTGCAAGTGTGAGATTGCTTGTATGGCTGATGATGATTTAATCCTGGCTCTTGCTTCTTGTAGCTGATCAATCCGTTTCGTAGATTTTGATACATCTGCTTCTCTACTCCTGTCTATTCAGGGCCACTGCCTTGAATGTTGAGTAAGGCATGTTGACAGTTGTAAGATTACTCTTAGGCTTGTTTTTAAAACCTCAACCATGGCCTGCTGATATTCAAAAGTTTCCAAAAGTATCAAGTTGAGGACTTTGGGCATCCTGTTCTCATTCATTCTGACAGCAATAAGCAGTGCATAGAAGTTGTAACTGCATAAGAAAAATCACAATACCTCCAATCTTCCACTTTGTAAATAGATCAGCATTGGAGACTTTGTCTTCATGAGTGTACCCACAAATTGCCCTGAGGCAACCTTTATGGAATACATCCAGCTGGTTTATATACAATGTGTATGGAGTCCATGGTTTGGAGCCATACAAAAGTGTTGTTAGGATGACAACTTTATACACCTGAATTTTTGTATCAAGTTTTCTAGAGGTGATGATTGTGTTTACTGAATGCAATCAATACTTTTTAATTCTAGTGTTGACCTTACTACTAAAACATATGAATGATTACATGTACTTAAGGTTCTTCCAATCAACCTTGATTGTTATATCTGGGAACTTGTGTGAGCAGGTGGCTTTTGTTTTACACCTCTTATTTGTTTTAGAGTAAGGAGTGGCTGGTGAATGACTTCTCTTTTCTTGATACTAATAGTAAGCCTTAAGGCTTTGGTAGCATTAGAAAAATGATCTACAAGTTCTTGAGGTTCTTCCAAAGATGTTGCTACAAGTGCAGCATCATCTACAAAAAGATGATCATAAATAATGCTGGTTAACTGAAGTGTCTTTGCTTTAAACCATTGGTGGTTGAAAAGATCGCAACTTGTGCAAAATGGGAACTTGACACCTGTGTCAACATCACCAAATACATGATTTAACATCACCAAGAAGATCGTGCAAAAAGAACTTGAACCACGACACAACCCAGTTTAGTGTCATTCATGACGTCAACAAAGTTAGAGCTTCCTTTGTGACAAAACAGCAACTGTCATCCCCTCAAGAAAGGAGTTGATAATGCTAAGTATTTTGTCAGTAATTCCAAGTTTCTTGTATATTTTCCAAAGATCTTTGCTTGTTTACACTGTCAAAAGCCTTGGTTAGATCTATGAATACCATATACATCTAGCTTTTTTAGTTTTCTCGGCAACCTAATGAATGGAAAAGATTATGTCAATGGTGCCACAGCCAGATCAAAATTCAAATTGTGATTCAGGATTACTGTCATTAACGGGGGTATTGATTATTCTATGAAGGATAACTCTTGCTAAGATCCTTTTCAGCAATTGAAAGGATGTAAATGTTGTGGTAGTTGAGATATATGGTATATTTTTTACAGGAATGTTTGTATTTGGATTACAAACTTTTGACAAATTTTTGCTAATTATTGACTTGTTATTAATAAATAAATAAGAATTAATAGTCACATGTAAAATGTTTTGTAATCCTAGAATTGTCTCAATTATTGTATTTGTAGAGATGGAATGAAGTGATAATTGACAAGTCTAAGATTCCATCTTTGCTGGTTTTGATTCCTAATATTAAAAAGGAAATCCACAATTCTAGACTTGTATAAGTAACTTTTAAGAATTTCACAATTGTATTTCTATTGGTTTGGCAAAGAATTGATGACAGAATGAAAGTACTTTTTTTTTTCTTTTTGTTTTTAATAATTTCACTCCAAGCAGGGCAATTATACCACTAAGATGCCAGGGGTTACTGAGAGTGAAAGATAATGAAAAAACTTTAGTGAGGAGGAAAGGACAATAAATGAACAGGAACAGGAAGATAAAAGATGGTGATTGGTATTACAATCTTCAAAAATTTAAATGCAACATGCCATCATTTGTTTTCCTGAATGCTGTTCTTTTATTGTCCTTTTCTTGTCACTAAAGTCTTCTCATTCTCTTTCACTCTAAGTAACCCATGGCATCTTGGTGGCCTTATTGCTTTTCTTGGGGCTAAATGAGTTAAAATAAATAAATGAAACCTTTCATTTGAGGTTTTATTTAATTATACACTTAGAGAATCATTGATGACTACATACATTAGTTTTATTTGTTTATATATGAACTCTTTATCTTGGTGACATATTTTGAGGTACTAATTTTTATGATGGTTTTTAAGGTAATGAAGGTTTGCAGAGAGAAAGTTTCACTTAATAAGGCATTTTAAATAGCTGTAAAAGGTCTCATGGGATTTTGTTTTGTAAAATGTCACCAGTTAAAATGTATCTTTATTCCCTTTTATGTTAGAATAGTTGTACTATTATACTTAGTTTTTTTATACAAAGTTTCAAGAAAGTTACTGTCTTAGTTATTACAATTCCTATAATTGTAATTTTTCTAGTATTAATATTGATAGGTACCAAGAATTGGAAGTTGTGGCTCATCTCCTCAAGATTTTGGCTCTGATCAGCTATATTGATATAAAACTAGTTTGAATTTGCACCAATCTTTGAGCATCTCTACTTCAAACAAGTCTTATAGGGTGTTAAACTCAGTTTAAAATACAAATGTGAATTTGTAATATATGTCAAAATATTATGAAAAGTAGGCTTGTTGTATGAAATATAATTTGTATGTCATATTGTCCAGCCAATAAATAATTTCTGCTCTATTATTGCTTGAGAGTTCTCTTTCATGTACACTTGGTTATGAAATGATTTTTTACACCATCACAAAGTATCTTTTGCAAAGTGTCACAGGAAGTTATCATCTCCATTAAGTACATTAAAAATAATATTTATTACTTTATTGCTACTAATACTATTTGTAAAAAATATATTACTTGGTGTCTGGCTAAGTGATTAGAATATTGTATTTATGTGTACATGAGTATTTTTTTGTTTTGTTTTTTTTTTCTTCCTTTTCTTGCCAGCTTGAGTTTGAACATGAAACAGCTAGTAAGTCTTTCATACTTAATGACCAATTTAGTAAATCAGCTGCCTTGTGAACTCTTGTGATATCCTCTAAGTGGTTTAAATATTTGCCTAATATATCAAGTAATAATAAATTGATTTATATGTGTGTGTATATAAATCTCAAGAGAGATACAGATAGTTTCTTAAATTAGCACAAACCAAGAAAAAGAACACAAATTTTTGTATCATTCTGTAAATTTTTAAAGAACAATATTAAATTGATATAAAATTTTAAAATAAATGGCAGTATGTCACTATATTTTAATGTACTTAATTTCACACCAATAATGAAAAATTTGTCAAAAGATTTCTATATATTCAATGTTTAATTTATTGGAAATATTGGAATTAATCCTTGCTAATTGGAATTATTATTATTCTATTAGAATTACAACTTGATTTACTTTCAACACATAAATATAGTAGTTGGTGAAACCTGTCAGTTATCAACTTGCCTTCAGCCTTCTTTTTACTGTATTCACAAAAAATATATATTTTTTCTTTTTATTATAATAATAATAATAATTTGTTTTATTTATTTCTGTAGAGTGAAAGTCAACTCTAGCTCCCCATCTCTCTCCCCACCCCTCCACATTTGCAATGCTACTTTTCTGTTAACTTGGTCCTTCTACTCTTAAATATTTCTCTCTTCTGGGAAACAGTTTTTAACATTATTTTAATAATTTTTAGATCTTTTGGCTTCAATGGAATTGATTCCTGTTACAGGTAAATTTCCATGGTTTTTGTTTTTGCTATCATAATCCACACCATACCACACTGTTCCTACTACTTGGTTCATTGCACCTATTTTTTGTTTGATCTTAATTGTAAACTTTTTTTATATAAATTTTCTTTTTGAACTTGGTGAGAGTGGTTTGATTTGCCAAGTTCTTTTTGATGACTCCAAGGATTTAAACATATCTCAAATAAGATTGATTAGACCTTGAAATATGGACTCAAACATGGATGCAAATATTAATTCTTGATGAAAACTATTTTAATGCTATCAACAAAAGAAAGAAATCTGAATTTTGTTTTTTATCTCACTGTAATTGTGCACTTATCATATGATTGATATTATTTCTGCATGTTAGTATTCTCAAATGATTTTCTGCATCACATTTTTGAGACAAACATTTTTAAAAAATTTCAATAAAATTAATTTTGCAATATTTAAAGAGAAATTAAAGAAAATATTTTTTAAAATGTATTTGTATTTTAGATTTATAATGAAAATATAAATTGGAATAAATATATTTTCAAATTGTTATTTATTTTAAAGATAGATGTAATTTTCTGTCTTTGTATACCCACTTAATCTTATACCAAACATTTGTCAAGGTATACTGAAGGTTCTCCGACACTCATCACATGTCTCATAACGTATTCGGGTCATAGGGGAACTGCATATACTTCAGCTATATCAGCAGTGTCGTGTCTAAGGCAAATATAGTCAGATGTAACCTATTCCTCTTCAGGTTGCTTTTGAATTCAATTTTCCTTCTCTTAGAGTGGTTGCCACCTCAAGACAAGAGAGCTCAGTCAGCCCTGCTATTTAACCCTTAGCCAAAGGGGAAAAAGAGATGGATTCATACCTTTCCCAAGGATGTTTGTGTGAAAGTGAATGTAACAAACCCAACCATGATTCAAACTTGGTTCACATATTTCTCTTTCTGAGTCACTAACAATTACAGTACTACCCCCCCCAAAAAAAAAAAATTGAACACTACTTACCTACTAATTCTGATTATCATGTCACCAATACAATTTTACCAACCTAGTCAAAAGTGTTTCTAGGCCCCACAATTTAGAAGCATCTCAGAAAATTGTGCGAATGTCTACATAGACATATTGATTCAAAGAATTAGCAAATAGTGTTTACATTCTTATCAGAGTTTGAGGATTTGTAAATTAAAGGTGTGAGAAGCAAACTAGTATCAAGTAGAGTTAAGTTTCTTTGCCAAGTGTCAGCATATTGTGCAGTGATCTTTGAGATTGTCAAAGTGACATACTAGATCTTCCATAGCATCTTGAGAGTTGGTTTATGGTACCTATCTACTATGAGACTTTGTAATACTGAGTGATAGGGTACCATTAAGGAGGAATCTCTGACCTGACTGCATTCATCTGCATCAACTATTGTGCTATGGCAATGACAAAATCTTCATTATGACACTTGGCAATAAGTGGAAGTATGGGGAAAAGTGAATGCACATCTTTCTCAAAAGCATTTGGGCATGATAAACACACAGTCTCAGCCATAATTGAACTCTGTTTATTAATTCTATTTTATGCACTGATAACCATTACGTTACCTCACACTTTGCTTGCTTGTAAATAAAATGATTTTGATTTAAGTGATGACAAAATAGGAATTTCCCAAGCAGTTAGTGAGACATTTACAAAAAAAAACTACATATTTGCATAACTGGTTTGGTTTGTTATTTAATCTCAAAAAGCACTTGTAAATTTTTCAGCCTAAAGCCATCTTACTATTTTTGTCCTGAGGTTAAATAATTCTATAAACTTAGAAATTTAAGTTAACTTCAGCATTAATAGAAAATTATATATAAAATTTTATTTTCTGGGATTTGTACTAATAATTTGTGTACAAAAATCCAAAAGTAGGTGTTTTCTGAATGTGTGTATGTATGCTGCTATTAAGTCAGCAAGGAAAAGCCCTTTTATGCAATTTGGCACTTTTTAATCTCTTTGCTTATGTTAATATATTAGGTAAGTAAATGAAATATCAAGTTTTTGAAGTGGAAAAAAATATATTAAAGTTTTATATATCAAAATTTTAAAGTGAAAAAAAATGTGACCTTGTATAAATTCAAAGCAAAATTTGTACAATTGTTTGAAAACCAGTTCAAAGTTGGCCTTTGTGTGTCTATATTTATAATTCAAAACCAGCAACAAAATGTTTTCTTTTCTTTGAGTATTTGGAATTATAATTTTATAAAGAAATAGATTTCACTACTCTCTGCTTGACCAAATAATATTTTGTAAAAATTGAGAATATTAATTAAATTAGTATGACAAATTGCAAAAGTTAGATTTAGATACTTTATTTTATAAAAGGTTATAGTTTTTCAGGATTTTCTGTTCCCTTGATAGTTTGAGATGTTTAATAATCCAAGCTTCCAGAGCTAAAGAATATATACGTTATCATTACTAGTTATATATGTAGATATTTGTTTAAATTTACTTGAAATTTAGACAAATATTTCCTGCGGTTCATGTTTCTAAATATATTATCACATACATTCTTTTAAAGAATATTAAATGAATAAACATATATCAATATTAACTTCAATCTCTTGCTCAAAATTAGATGTTAGATATATTTACCAAAGTAATTGCACTTTACATAAATATCTCTAAAATAATTATTAGTTTATCACAATCAGCAATTGAAATCATCAGTTGGTTGGGTTTGTTGAAGCTTCATTGTGAAGCTGGAATTTGTATTCTGAATTGTTATTAATCAATGTTTGAACGATAAAATACTGTAAAATCCTTTATAATAATGATAATATTTTTGTAACCTGCTTTTGTTAATTTTGATCTCAATATGACTTAATGCTTTCTTCAACATTAATATGAAAATACCAATTTAAAAAAAAAAAGCTTTATTTTGTGATATTGTATGTAAATACTATCTAGGTTTGTTGCATTATGGTCATTTCAGTGTTTGACATTGGTCAGTCATTTCAACATACTGATATATCAAATATATATTAAATCTCTCTTCCATGATTTGATTCACTATTTCACAATTTTTTTTTTATTTTCCCTTAAATCCTTGGATTAGATTTAAATCAATATCATAATCATCAAGTCTTTATATTAAAGAAAATAATTTAAAGTAATCAATTTTTAAAAAAAAAAAAAAAAAAAACATTAAAAATGGTAAATGCGAATCTTAAATTTCTATCATGAATGTTTCTAACTAAATAACAGCTGTGCAAGTGTAACCTTTAATAGAAACAGTAGAAGGCCACCCAAAAAAAAAAAAATTAAATGGTCCAGTCTGGAAAATTTGGAAATGCAAAACTAAATTTTGAAGACAACTTCCAATAACCAATGTTTCTATTTTTGCTGCTTGCGCCACAACTGCTGCTATTGCCTCCCACTTTTTATTCACTTTATGCCCCCCTCTCTTTTTATTTCTGCTATTGCTGCCTTCAGTCCCTGACCCACAGGACCCTATTGGACATTATTAGTTTGTAGTTTTCTTCAAGCTTTATCTATTTTAAGAGAATTTGTATTTATTATTTGACAATGGATGCTTTATAAGTGGTTGGTTGCATTCTCTCGGGGTTATCTCTCAGCTCCATTAACCACTCCCAATCCTATTTTTGTTCATATTTCCTAAATCTTTACTATGTTCAAAAAAAAAAAAAAATCCTTTTTTTTTTTTACTTTTACATGTACATAGATGCATAAGATTTTTTAATTTTTAAACTATTTTTGAATATTTTTTAAAATTTTCTTATATATATATATATATATATATATATATATTTATTTATTTTTTATTAAACTTAGTATAGAATTTTATGTTAACTTTTCTACTTTAAGGTTTAAAAGAAACCTTGGATTTATTTCCATTTAAAAAAAAAATGGTTTCATTATTTAGGTTTTTTTTTTGTTTGTTTCTTTTTAATTCTATAATAATATTTAATTTTATTTTCAGCATTTAAAGATTAAAAACTTTCTTTAATAAATATATTAAAAAATCAAAGTACTAATCGAATAAGAGCTTTTAAATTGAATTTTCTTTCTCAGTTTTTACAAAAACTTGTTTTTGAATTAACATTCTTCATTTACAAATTTTCAGCATATAAAATATGAAATTGCATATCTTTGATACATTGAAAAAATAAAATTAAGAATTTTTTTCTCTTGAATTTAAGACATTTGATTTTACAAAAACTTCTGAAAATTTATAAAAATGTTGTAAATCTAAAAAAACTAAAAAAGAATTCTGCTCTGTAAAATGGAAAAGGTTTCACTTAAATGTTTTCACAAGAAACAAAAAAATTGACAGTATGACATTTTATTCACTTGTGCTATTCACTTGATTCATTTAGATCTGACAATGGTTTCTGACAACTCACATGTCTTGATTCTTGTACACAAATGTAATTAGTGTATCAGGAAGTGGGGGTGGCAAGACACTAAAATTAAAGAAAAAGAAAAGATCATTTTTTTCTTAATTCTTTTTTTTAATTTTCTACTATGTTCTTCCTTCTCTTGTGTTCTTGGTTCATCTTACTATTCTGAGAGTTTACCAAGATTCTACACAGCATTGAATAAACTAAAGCTTTACACACTTCATTGTTTGATTTCTCAAACTTTTAACTTCTGATTGGAATTAACATGTTATTCTCCAAACAATTGGCTGTTTTGGTTTAACATAAAATCTTGTCAGAATATCCCCAATAAAAATTCACTCAAGTGAGCTAGAAAGAAGCACAAAGGAAATCCCTACTCCCAATGCTGCCTTTCTTAATAAAGACCCTCTTTGATGTTTATTAATATCCAATTAAATTGTGCAATTACTTTCATGAAATCAGTTTACTCTAAATTAATGCCTTGTTTTTATTAAAATTTACTCAAAATGATTCTAATGATTTTCAAAATAATGTTTAAAATATTAAGTTTTAATATTTCTCAACAATTATTGAGATTTAATAACACCATTAAATTGGCACCAAAAA